TTTTCAGGCCGATGAGCTTTGTAAAAATCGACGTGTTTCAGAAAGGCGGGGCATAGAGGAAAAACAATAATGTACAGTATGTGGAAAATGTGTTTTTTTAACCTTAAACCGCATAAACACATTTCATTACACCAAATACACAAAATAATGTTATTTTTAGCAACATCATATGACCCCTTTAATGTTTTGACTTTGCTTTTATTTTTATATTTTAAGTTTTCTATTTAATTTTTTAGTAATTTTATGTGCTTTTGTCATTCATATTCATTTTTTAATATTTAATTGATTTTTATTTGTTTTATTTTTATTTCAGTTAGTACTTTAATTGCTTAAACTTATTTTACTAATTTTCATTCAGTTTTTTTTTTTTTATCTAATATTTATATTTTATGTGAGCTATTTCAGTTCAGTTTTAGTTTTAGTTAAGAATAACAACAATACAAGGTGACCTTAAAGCTTACTAATTTTTGTGAGTTTTATTGAAGGTTAAAAGGTTCTTTGTATATCATTTCTTTCACATACTAAAACAGAGTGTGTAAATGAATCAAATCAAACTGTATCGGTATTGAATTGGGAGATGTGTGTTGGTATGTGTGTTGTCTGTCTTGTATGATATGATCACGCCACGATACATACAAATGCAAATGGGGTCCAGAAGATCAGGTGATCCATCTCGACTGTATGTCTGTTGTTTCCTGTGATATTACCAACCATCTGCCATTATAGTCCTGCTCTTGTTCTGATTGAATTACCTGTTCTGCGTCATTATAATTGTGTCTGGGCTACATTGTGCTGATTATCAATGACATTTGGATATATGTGGGTCTCATTTATTCATTTTACTGTGTATACGCCTGGAAAGTGTAAATGTATATGCACTAATGTTTTCTTGCAATAATTAGTTTGTACGGTTTATAAAATAATTTTAAAAACATTTATAAGTAATCCATAGTCTCACCTGAGTTCTGATTCTCCGCCAATACAGGCAGGCCCTTTTAATTTCGAGTCTAGGTTATAAAACTGTCCGTTGACGTCCCGTACCGCAAGCCAGTGTCTGCGTCTCAGCGGGAGATACACAATTCCCAGTGACACCCTTGATGGGACATTCAAAATGAAGCCCTGAATTTTGTCCAGGCACAAATTCTGTACTGACCTACAGCATACGAGAGATATGGAGAAAAATGAACTCACCTTTTATGATCATCACATGATTTATAAAGTGACACTGAGCTGCTCTCACACTTACCGGCGTTTGTACCACCAAACAGCAGCGAGCCCCCGACTCTGCAAAGCTGCCATGATGACATTGACATCATAGTTTCCCGTGCCCAACACTGAGCGGTGTGGATTCATCACACACTGTGGGGCAAGTCTGCAAAGAAACACAACAGACAACTTTGGATTTGAGAATATAGAACAATACAAAGGGGGAATTAAATTATGGCCTGTATATATATATATATATATATACATACATATGTGTGTGTGTAACGCACCGCTTGCAGATGTCATCTGCTGTCTCTTTGGTAAAAACTCTCTCTTGAAGCACGTTGTTCAAGGCATGGATAGCGCACAGCTCCAGTCTCTGTTTCTCATGAAACACCTCGCCCTCGCTCATACTCACCCTGCCATCACAAGTACATTCAGCCCGTCGATTAACATTTAAGTAAAGTTACGCCCAAGAGCACATAATGTATCCGCGTTCCCGCGAGCTGACAGCACATGACTGATACATCATCAAAATCATCATCATACCTTCTGGAAGACAGAATCCGCGTGTTGCAATGATTTCTCCACAGTAAGAAACAACCGCTGCTTAGACGTACCGTGACACTAATCTTTATCGTTCCATCACACTGTTGATAACTAAACCTACAAGGATCTGTGAAAAGAGAACGCTATCTGTTTCTCGTCTGTGAGGATCGGCCGGAAGTTGTGCTGTTGTTGCGTTGAGGAAACGCCCCTTGCGGTCATCTAGCAGTACACATGTGAGCTCCACAGGGGGCGCTAATGATCAAAACCCTTGTGTAAAAGTGAAATCATTTTTATTTCAGTAACGTTAGCCTTTCAGTAGGGACAAGGAAATTCATATATTATTCAGAATTGTATAATTTATTTTATTTAACATGTTTTATTATTGTTGTTGTTGTATAACAATAACACTTATATTATTATACACTTGCATTACTTTACATGTTCTTTTTTGTCGTACAATTTAACCAGTTAACTTTCAAATGTTGAACATTATATATTCTGAACACAATCTGCAAGCTTTTTTACTACTAAAAAATTTAAAAACTAAAAAATATACTGCAAAAACAAGTCGTACAAAACGAAACGTAGCTTTAGGGTTGGAGTGCCCTCTAGCGGTCGTTAAGTAGTACAGCAAACACTTTTATTATCAGATTGATTTGTGGGTTCAGTCAATGTCAGAAAATAATTTCTTTTAATTGACTCTCATTTAGCGGGCTTGCCTCAGTTAAATCAGTTGTAATGACGACCTAAACGACGGATTAAGGGATAAAACAACTGGGTGTTGGGGGGTCCATAGGCCTAACTGATGATAACGTAAATTATCAATATCAAGCATGTATGACTTTTAATATTTTATATGATAAATTTGCTATTTTCTTTACAATGTGTTTAATTTAAAATGTAATTATTATTATCATTAATAATAATAATAAATATTGTAATTATCAATACAAATAGTCAGTAAAACAATTTTTTATGTTGCTTTGCACTATTTTCACAGATTTTAATTATCAGGAAATAGTTGCTGTGAGATAATTTATGACCATGTGATTCACAACTCAATTTATTTTAAATATACAAGATGGCTCATAGCAACAGGCTACAAATGATTTAGGTTAAACAAAAACGTAGCCTATTACTTTGTATAAAGAACATTGCAGAGTGACAATAAATGCTTTAAACCCCTTGTTGATGTTATTTCTAAGTGTTTCGTTGGATCATGAACTGAAACAGCATTTGTCCCTGCCTTTGGGAGGGCATGAGTTATTCAAACGCACCTATTACCAAAGAGCATTTTCCGCATTCTCAACTTTCGCTGGTCCGTGAGGTTTCCAAGGTCTACTGCGTCAGCGTAACACAAGCTTCTGATTGGCTAGAGGGATTTAATTGGTGCGCACGTGCAATGCTTCTCAGACTCTGATTGGTTAAACCTCTTTCGAACAGCTTCTTAGACGAATTGTATTTTTGTTCCTGTGTCAAAAGACTGCTAGCTGATAACAGGCTACGGTAGCCGTCTGTGGCAGTTAGCTATCGAGCAAAACAACTTTATCAGACGAAATTGACAACACATTGGACTTTAAAACTTTTAGACGGCACATTTCATCTGAGGACAACATCGGATAGCAGTTTCACAAAGGAAAGCTCTGGAGAATAGTTTAGATAGTTTCATTACTCGGCAAGCCCATCGTTAGCTTAGCCTGGTTTGGTAGCAACACCAGCCGACCGACGTTACAGTGAGGAATTGTTTTTGATAAATTGTAAATTCTTTAAACGTCTTAGTATATTTTGCAGTCTTGGTTGATTGCATCTTTTAGATTCGTTATCGGTGGTTTCCGTCGGTCTCGTTGTGGATCACCGGATCAGTCTCGTCGTCCGGTTGGGTAGCAGTTAGCCAAGTTTTCTCATTTGAGACAAATTTGCTGGCTATTATAAAACCCCACACAGCTGGAAATGGTACGTTTAATTTCAAAATCGAGGAATGGTGCTTCAAACTGTTAGGTTAATATAAGAAAATAGGTTTTCTGTCTTTTCTCATTACTTTTTTAGCAGTTTAGGTACAAGTATATCATCAGAAGGTACGAACTGTAACTTATTAATTTACGACTAAAACTTTATCATTCACATAGTTGATTTAATTTTTTTCATCCTGTTTCGACTTTATTTTGTACCTTTTCACTGTCTTGAGCTAGTAGAACAGATTATACTTCTGATGTTGAACTAGCAGTCATGTGCCATTCTTTGAAGTACTTGGTATTAGATAATTAATTAACTTTGTTGCTTAAAATAAGTGTATTTTCAGGATTGTTGCTTTCCTAAACCTGCCATGAAACAAGACATATATTGATTTTAGTAGTCTTTTTTTTGGTCATGAACGTGCGCATGTTTACCAGCAAATGTCACTTTGTAGCTATTAATGCTGTATAGTGTACATGCTTGTGACAATGATTTTATTTTTTTTTTCCTGTAGAATTCGAACGTGGAGAACTTGCCGCCTCAAGTGTTGAGACTCGTCTATAAAGAGGTTTCCGCCTTGGCAGCAGACCCTCCAGAGGGGATCAAAGTCTACCCCAGTGAAGAGGATATCACAGAGCTGCACACTGCCATTGAGGGCCCAGGTAAGTAGTGCATTTTATTATTTTTCCTTTTTAAGGACCATAGCGTATTTTACCTTTTCCCCTGTTTCTCAACAGAAGGAACTCCATATGCGGGAGGGGTGTTCCGGATGCGTTTGGTCCTTGGGAAGGATTTTCCTGCTGCACCACCCAGAGGCTATTTCCTTACAAAGATTTTCCATCCTAATGTTGGGCACAAGGGTGAGATCTGTGTCAATGTGCTGAAAAGAGACTGGAAGGCAGAGCTGGGCCTGAGACATGTATTGTTAGTAAGTAGTATTTTAAATTTTTTTACTGTCCTGGTAAACCTAGATTTAAATGCAGGTAAAAATTAGGGCTGTGACGGTCGCCGTGACAACCGTGTCACGGCAGGTTTGACTGCAGGAAAATACAGTTTATTCTGCATTCAGCAAATTAATTTTGTGTTGGGCGATGGACCTTGCTGGGAAACCAAATACTACATCCCCGATCTGGAGCCATCACCTTTCATGTCACCCATCTGCGTTTGTACAAGTGTCTTCAAGTTCCCATGATTGCAAACGCCTGGCTGGTCAGGTTTCGTGAGGCTTTCTCCAAACTGGCCAAATACAAACGAGACGGCGATAAATGAACAGTGAACCGTGTCTACACCGGACATGACACCGCCGCGTCGCAACAGGTTGAGTCTGTCTACACAGGACATTTGAACTTTGTGTCAGTACCTCATAAACAGGACGAGGCAGTTTACTGTCAGGGATTTGTCATGTCGTGTCGCGCATCCAGTGTAGCATCACTGATTATTAGGGATGCACCGATACCACTTTTTCCAGTACTCGCCAGATACCGATACATTTATTTTTGGTACTTGCCGATACGAGTACCGATACCGATATTTTTATTGCATTTGTAAATTTTTTTTAAATATTGGGTACAGAAACCAAAAGGGTATGTATAATGTTAGTTGGTTAACTTCATTTATCAAATAGATACAGTCAAACCAAAATTTATTCAGACACATTTTTTTTTTATGTGGTGGGTGTTTACGCAGTTGGCTAGAGCAGTGCTGGCTGATTGGGGAGAACGGAGGTGTGCTCACTCTTGCCCAGGGCAAGTAAGATTGCAACTCAAGGCTGGCAGTCATGCATATGCTCTGGAACAGTGCGATTAGCAAATCGCAACGTCTCAAATCGCGATTTCGATTCGATTTCGATTAATCACACAGCCCTAGTATCGGGGCATTTTAACAAGTACGAGTATGAGTACAGGAGCTCAGTATCGGGCCCGATACCAGTATCGGTATCGGTGCATCCCTACTGATTATAATGAGTTAGTATTTTGTCGTGTCGTGCCACGCCGCTCGCATCCGGTATACAGGATGTATTTAACTTTCTTATTTAGACTACTTTCTTGTTTAGCTGTATTATTTCTTTGATATTTATTTTAGTGTTTTGCAGGCTGTGTTTTCACTGACGGAAGTGCTAAAATAAACACGGATGTTTGTTAATAGGTGATTGAGCCTCATTTATTATTTGTGTTTCAAAATTATAGGCCTGTGTGTATGTGTGTGTATATGTATGTCCTGTAAAAAAATATAAGTCTTATAAAAAGTCTCAAATTTAGTTCGCGCAAAATCGTCCCAGTACTTTAGTACTGTACATTTAGTTCTGGAACTAAAGCAGTGCGAAAGGCCCTCATGATTACAAATATGATATTGATTTTATACAACAGTTCAATAAACAAGAAGTTAATATTAAGAGACTTATGTTTTAGATGCCATATTTCCTGTTTTTGCTTAATTTCTCCAACAAAAATAATTCCAAACACAGCCACAGCACTGTTTTGTGTCTCTGAGCAACGTGATGGTGTTTCGTTCCTGAATGAATCAACCGTTAAAATGATTCGGTTTAATCGCAATGACTCACTTATTAACAGTGACTTGCTGCCACCTACTGACGGTTTTAATTTCACATTTAAGGTAACTTTTCATTTTTAAAATAATTTCAAACATCAGTTTTTAATGTTTTATGTTTAAAATATCAAAACATTATTTAGGCATTTGTAATTGCAGGTTAAAGTATTCCATGCCCCTCAGAGCTAGGGGTCGACCGATTATCGGCGCCGATATTAAGCATTTTTATGATTATCGGTATCGGTCATTTTCAAAACAGATTCGCCGATAAAATAACTTAATTTTGAAACGCGCTATTTGGCTCTGATGCAGACTGTCAGAACTCACCTCTCTGTGGCCTAAAGCAGTCTCCGCCCACTGCTCATCTGATTTGTTGGGAGTCATGAGTCAGACCAATCAATGCAGAATTCATGCTCACTCCAAAAGCCTTGCTAACTGGAGCTGCTTCAGTGATCACGCATCCTCAAAAGATGGTGCACACTTTTAGAAAAAATGACTTAAAGATAAAAATGCCCATAAAACATGTTGAAAGTTATTAATTTCTATCACTGCTGTGAATCATAGACTGTAAAAACTGTGAACTGACCACACAGAATATGAAGAATATCAAAAAATTCAGGAGTCAGCTGTCAGCACAATTAGAGATAAGGTATCAGCACAATAACACACTCAGCAAAATATTGTCTGATTATCATTATTGATAAAATCCCAGAAAATTATCGAGATATAATTTTTTGTCAGTATCGCACCCCTCTAATTTGTTATTTAATTGATATAATAATTTATTGATGATAATTGTTTAAATTAATAATTAATACTTTTGACTCATCTGTTTTCTTAAAAATGGTTTAAAGGCTGAAATGTAAAGTTTATCATTTTATAAAACTTTGTTTTTGTGAAAACTTGTATCTGAACTGTAAGTTATTCTTTTTACAGTAATTTTACAGTTTAATATGGTACTATAGAC